TGAACAGTGAAATGCAGGGTCTGTGTGGAGGGCTGGTGCTTTTCTCCTGCCACTGCTCTGAACAAGCTATTGAAAAGACCAAGGAGAGCTGCTGCAGGGATTTGAAGAGCTACAGAAACTGCCTTGTGAAGTCGAGTGAGAGTATGACTTTGATTCAGAGAGAGAAATTTGATGACACTGGGGCAGAGAGATGTTCGATTACATTTCATTTCCAGCCTGCTACCAAAGAGGGTTCATTCTGGTGAGAGAGAGGGATGGATTATCAAGGCTGCCTGGCTTTGGGGCTTCATTTTGGAGGAATTCTTCCTACCTGTTGGGATATTCTGGTGCAGCATTTTCTTCCCATGGACTTCCTGGCAGGTGTTGCACTGCGCAGGACCTGTGCCAGGGTCTGTGGTTGCAGAGCTGGCATGTGTCTGAATCCCAGAGGAGGGTGTAACCAAACGCACATCAGACTTTGCTGTTTATGCATTTCTGGAGCCGCATTTCTTACTGAGAGTATCTGCTCCGTTATCCTGCATCGAGCCTTTGATTATACATGCCACCCAAACTCACTAGTGAATTGCTGGGCGCCCTTTTTAGTCCTCAGTTTAGCCAAGGGGAAAATTCTTCTCCTTTAACTTCAGCTTGTCTTCAAGTCAGGCACCTGGTTTATATCGATCCCAGCTCCCTGGCCTGTCAGTGCCAAAAGCTGGGTTATTTATCCTGCCTTAAGACAGGTGTCTATGATAGCTGAGGTGACTCACCCTGGCGTTGCTTTTCCACTGAGAGCCTAAATGATTAGTTTAGACAAGCTGCCTAATTAGGAGATGGCTGAAGTTAGAGTAGACGGCTCCCGCCCACCGCGCAGGCTTACGCAGCGCTTACCTTGAAGAACTCGCACGAGTGGAAGGGCTCGTGTTTAGACAGGAGTGCATGCTTGAATGCTGCAATGAAACGGGGCTTTTGTAAATGCTGTTACCCCTACGTGGGATGGTGGTGTGGCAGGTGATGGGAATTCAGTGCTCAGGTACAGAGGGACAGGCTGTGTCCATGGAAATTTTGTGCCATCGATCTCATTGCCTGGATCAGGGCATTTATATTGTTAGGCAGTAATGGATCTACACTTCTACAGTATGATGGGCGAGATAGAAAAACTAAAACAAATGCTTGTACCCTCTGTTCCATTACAAGAAATTATTCATAGTGGCGAGTTGTCCTCTTCCACATGAAAATACTTTAGCTTATCTCCGAAATGCACTTTAATTCATGGAATCAATAACGTCTCCAGACGCTAGGGCTTGTCTCATTTGTCTGTTCCTTCTCTACTCCTCTTCTTCTCCCTGCAATGTTTGTATGATTTTAGACTTTGCAAGTATGTTTGTTAAGTATTAATGTTTCATTCCAAAGGATGTATTAATATTCATAGTAAGTGTATTCATCCTGTGGCACCAGTGGTTTGACTTTTCTGATGTAATTCGCTAATGTATCTTACGTTTGCATTAATGGTGGGAACTCCTATTTGAATATCTAAAATATTAACAGAAAAGCGCCAAAACACATGTGACCTCAGGCACTGAACTGATTTCTCAGAGCCCCTGTTCTTCTGTGGCAGGATGCAGGTGGTTTAAGTGGTTAGTAGTAATCCAGATTTTGGGATTATTAAGCCCTCTGAAAGAAGGCTTGTTTTTTTCTGTGGGTATATATAAAGTTAATGGTTGTTCTGGATGATGGAAGAGGTACATATGGACCTAGAAGTGTAAAGCTTACGTGGAATGGAAGAGGGAATGGGGAAGTGGGGGAAAAAAAAAAAAAAAAAAAAGAGAAACAAATGCTTGAACAAACTACAAGTGCTGGTGTGGAATTAGTAGTTGTATCTTTGTGTAGGTTAAATTCCCCAGTACAAAATCTAGGGAAGGTGTGCTGCAGAAGTACTAGTGCTGCGTAGCAGAAGCAATTGAAGTTGCTTAAGTGAACAAAAAAGGGCTCTTCCTCTTGGGGCCGGAGAGATTACTGTATACCGCGTGGTACAAGGAATATTAAGAAATGAAAGAAAATAATCTGACTGGAAGAGTGGAGCAGTCAGGAAGTATGGTGTTCAACTGGAAGGAGAGATGTAGAGATACGGCTTTGCTTATGACTGAAGGAAGAGTCAAAAGGAAAATGCTCAGAGGTAGTTTTGCAGCCATCAGCCCTGTGAGCTGATGCAGCGTGCGTGTTTGGTGTGTTTCAAGCACAGCGTGATGGTAATGAATGTAGCATGTGCGATGTACTACATTCCATGCAGAAATTAAGCCTGAGGTCTGGGGTTTGTCCTGAAGACAGAGAGAGAAGCTGGTTCAGACTTTGTGACGGACCGAAAGCTGAGCTGGGATGTTCGTGTGGTGCTGAGAGAGGTGACCAAGCCCCTGGAAAGAGACCGAGTTCTGGTTAGCATCTGGCACGAGAGAGGCAGACTTCAAATTAACCTTTCAGAAGGGAACTGGGACTTGCCAGTGGAACTGGCTCATTGCTGAACGAGGCTCACTGGGGGTGTATGGGAATGTGACAAATATTCATAAAAATAGGGTGGTTGGAAGAACAGGGCAGTCTCAGGACCTCTTTGAAAGGGACAAGGTGGAATGAGATTTTTATGTTTCAGGTGATACAGAATATGGCTGACAAAACTCCATGAATCATATACCTGGAAAAGCTCTCTTAGCTCTGCTAGTTTTTATTATGATTAGGGATGCCTTTTATGGCTGGTTCTCTAGCTTTAATGGATCAAACCCAAATTCTGTGTTTTCACAGCTGGATTACTTAGAGAGAATTTCTACCCAAATCCAGTCTTTGGGGCTCAGATCCATCCTTAAATACACCTAGGTCAAAATTTTGGCGTATGCTGCAGTAACTTCTTCAATGGAAAGTAGAGTTTAGCTCCAAATATCACCTCACTACCCCTACAACTGCGGTTAGGAACCAATTATTTGTACTACTACTGTCTTGCAAAGCATTACAAAAAGTAGCACTGGAGTGCTTATCAGTATTAACTAAGCACTGGGAAAAACACCTGTAATTTCTGATAGTCTCTTTTCTTCATTGACCAGACCCATCAGGACCCCAAAATATGACTGTCTGTAGTATGACTCAGTTTTTTTAATATATCATGTGTCCAGCACACAGTGAAGCATCTGATTTGAAGGCTTGCTGATAACACAACTATGTAAAAATAGGAATATTGCAGTTTTCTTATTTTGGAATATTATTTGGAAGGCTGCGTGCCCAAAGGGGTGGGAATTATTTATGCATCTAACTTCACTTTCCCAGTTTTCCAGTTCAAGAGGGGGAAAGAAACTTGTAGGTGATGTTGTACACACTCCTCACTCAAAGGCAATATTTTTGCAGGTTTCCAAGTTCACTTGCGTTGCTGTTCCAGGGGTGGCTTGTTCCAAGGCATTCCCATTACCTTGCATGTCTCTGGCCTCGAGACCCTGGGGCAGAGGACTTCTTTTGCTTTCTTCCTCTGGACTGCAGGTATTGGCTGCAAAGATCCCTGTGTTCCCTGTGATTTTGCTTTTCCCAACAGCTCTGTATTTGCTTCAGTGCTTAGCATAGTGCTCTGAGCAGTGACAGAAGTAATCAGTAGCTAGCCAGCTTTCATAAAGCAAGGTATTTTTTTTTCCCTCTTTAGAAAAAAGCATCAAGGATAAAATGTGTTGTAAAACAACACAGTTTATACACCTCTAGCTTTTCAGACAGTTACTTTATGGAGATGTTGGTAGGAATAAAGCACTTCAGATCTTCCAGTGATGCCCATTCTTCTTGCACACTATCTTATATCAGTTATCAGGTGAAATATTAATGAATATTAAATCAGGGCAGTAGGTTTTATTATTTGTTTGTTATCCAGGCCTCTTTTATGAAGTCAGACAGGTATTCTACAATATCCAAAAAAGACAGAAACTTTGAAAAGCTGGCTACATGCCTTGCATTTGCACTGAGAACCTGCGTGAATGATTCCCCTATTGAATTTTCATTCCCGCAGAAAAAAAAACTTCTTATCTGACCCATTTGACCAGAAATATCATCCCTAGCAAACCCAGAGAGATGCACATAACTTGTATTACATCAATACAGCAATCTTTGAATGTTCCTTGTGTCCATTTGTCAGAGGAGACAGTTTAATGCGATAACTGGAACATTGAAGGTTAACGTCCAAATTTTTAGACTTCTCTTTTCAGAGGTGCAATTTGTACATGCAGATTTCACCTCAGCTTTGGTAGCTGCAGACAGATAAATGGAGGCAAAAAATGCAGATGATTAGTGACTGAATTTTTTGCAGCAAAACAGAGAGATATGAATTAGCCTCGGATTTGTGCTTCCATTCATTTGCAAAAATAAAAGGCTATTGGCATAGTAATTAAATTAATTATTTTGCCCGTTGGAAGAATGAAAGACTCCAGCAAACGAAGCCCTAAAAGTTTTGTTCTCGCGTGCCCTGTCCACAGTTCTTAGCAAGTTTCATAATGGATTTTATCAGCATTAGTGCTACCTGTCGTAACTACATAATTACAGCACCTAATTATATTATTACTTATTTACTCTAATTATGTAATTGGATGTAATTGGTGCAATTACGTAACTCCTCAGTCAGCTGAAAACTGCTCTAAAACCAGCCTATGTTTGTAAGAGTACAG